GCAATCAATGGCTCACAGCTGCCAAGTGTTCTCAATAATGAAGGAGATGTCGGTGGACTCTAACTTTGAAGGACTGCAGGCCACTGTTGTTGATGTTACCCACGGCGGTGTCAGGGAGTTGGTTCCAGATCTGAACTCCAGTATGGATGAAGGTCCGGCCGGTGGGACTGGTTCTAGATACCGGTTGTGCAAGTGCGTGGGTTGGCATAGGAAGGCTAGTTCTGGTTGTACGTCTGAGGGTGTACGGCTTGGGGAGCATTGTCTTCATGTAATGATAACTGCCTGGAATTTCATACTTGTGGTATTTGAAAGTTCAGTGAAGGTGAAAATCATTAAACATGATGTATTCAAATCAGGACCTTATTTGCATAAATTTATGAGGAAATGCTAGAATGACATTGTTTGTTAATACATGACTGTCTTTTGGTTAAGAATATGATAAATTGATATAATTCATGAAAATGAGGATCCTATTTGCACAATCAGGGGGAATAATCTACAAATTGTCAGTCATAAAGATTAACATCATTTGGCGAAGGTATGAGATCGGGGAACTCTAGTTTACTGCGAATTTACATCCAAGAACATAAAACATGTACACATACACTATGTAAACGTATTTGTGAACGTTTCAGAGTCGTCTATATTTAAAACGTATGTGTTTCTTCAACTCTGGGCAATGTGGTCTCCATTTCTCTCTTTTGAATATTCACATACGTACAAATGGCTGCTGCCAAAGCTGCTAGACTCAAGAAGACACTCATTTATTTCACACGTATTAAAATGATTTATGAATTATACATTGATCGGCGGTGAACTTTGGCAATGATGAATTAATTATACAACATTGTCGTGCACCGTACAAAAGAATATTTTACAAATGTCGAGTTTGATCCATCAGTTAGCTTCTCTGTCAATTATGGAAATTTTGGCAACATTGAATATTCATATGTACGAATATAAACTGTGTAATGCGTTCTATTGAGTTCATATTAGTGACGCTGAAGAAGAGTGGTGGATGTCAGTCGAAACGACATCTAGAAATCATCTCCGTAATTTAACTAGTAGCTGAGTCCGGATTTCCTATATGTATTCTTTACCTGGATCTCTAACCTTATATATGTATCGGTATAGCCGGTATAACCGCCCTTCGGCGTAACACACCAGCTTCGCAGGCACGCGGCGCGGCGGCAGCTAGCTATATCACACCGAACGGCTTGTTACACTCAATCTTTACACATTTGATTGCAGGAATAGTTTAAAGCTTTCTAGTGATGATGCCCCAACTGTTCTTGGTGGCAACGAGTTCCAGTCTACGATAGTTCTGGGGAAATACAAGTTTTTGAATACCTCAATTCTTGGTTTATAACTCTGATATTTGAAGGCATTAAGGCATTAACCTTAATCAACGTTCGCCAATAATGTTATCTAAATTCGTCTTTTGTTGAAAACTGACTTAGCTTGTTGTTTTTCTAACATTTTCTAGCAACTGGAGGCCCAGGAGCGTGAAGAGCGCATGCGCAGGGCGATCGGAGACGCCGAAGAAAGACGAAGATTGGCGGAGATCGAACGGAAACGGAGAGAAGAGGAAGAGCGGAGACTGGAGGAGGAACAGAGAGCTGAGGAGGAGAGGATGAGAAGAGAAGCCGAAGAAGAAGAGGAGAGAATACGGGCGGCTGAGAGATCGGTAAGACACTACAAAAATACAAAGATTGAAAGTTTATTGCAAATACATGCCCGAAGGCTAATTGCAGTTACAAACAACATGAGAAAGAAAATACAGTGGTATGTAAGACTATATCTACGTCTAGCATTATACTATATTCTACAACATACATGGTACTAGTTTTACTGGGTTTGACTTCTTCTTTTTAGGCAATGGAAGACGAATTGTTTTTTTGGTGTTTTTTTTTGTGGTAGGGAATGGTCGGGAAGTAAGGGAGCATTTTGGACACGTTGCTAAATAATTGTAATAATGTCATTATTGCTTTTATAGCTGTTATAAATTCTTCAGGTATCAATATTAAACGTTACTACATAAAGCATGACCCATCCGTTGTCACCCCGTAACTTTTTATTCTGGTGGCAAAATTTTTTTTTTAAATGCGTCTTCGGGGTATAGGATGTGATCTTTTTTTTTTCTTCTTTGTTTTACCTTCAAATCACGTTTATCCTTGCGCTATCAAAGCAAGTATATCAAATGTCGGCAGCATGTCTAAACCTGTAGTCAATGTGATAAAATATATCTACCTCATATCTGAGAAGTGCGTTCTACTGTGACACAATCACGCACGTGAAGTCAGTTCAGTGCTCTGATTTATCAGCGTTTTCAAATCTGCCCTTTACTCCACATGTATGACATTTAGCAGCGCACGAAAACTAAGAAGGCACGGTTTTGTTTCTTTACTTCCATACGGGGGTTGCTAGCAACAGTACAAGGGGAGAGTCGTGTATGTTGTATACTCATGTACGCTTGTGTCTTCGCCCGCAAAGCGGTTGGAACAGGAAACATTGGTAAAGGAAAAAGCTAAAATTCAGGTGAGAAACGGTAGTAAACTTTCGTGGTATACGTAAGCACTGCCCCGCATTAACTCTTAATTATAATCATTTTTTTTTATTCCAGCATTAGTGGCGACTTAGCTTTCAGGCATATTTTTTTCCCACTTTTTCGCTGTAAGTCAGGCTTCTAGGGATTTGAGTCGGTGGCAACAGAGCTTTGCGGTAATATAGCTATAAATGAGCGATGACATAGACGGACTGCACACTTAAGGAACGGCGTCAGAAAGTAGTGAATCCTTTGGAATTTTTCTCACGCTTCAAGTGTCAATAGTTGCCGAAACGCACGCCAGTTAACACGCTTTGTAAGTCACCCCAGTATTGAATTGGCTTCCTCACAATTTAGTACTAGAAACTGAGTCAGACACTTTTGGTGTCTACGTCGATTTGCTAAGAAGAAAAAAATGTTTGAAATGTCGGGCTGTGTTCGATCCTGATGGATCACGCGAAGATGGCTGCCGGCGGTAAGGCCTTGGAAAAAATGTTGTGTTTCCTGTTTCAGTCCTGAAAAAAATTAGGGTCGGTAGGTATCTTTTTTTCTTCTTTTTCTTAGACTTCAGTGATACCTATATACTGTAGTGTCCCAACTTATACAATACAAAGTAAAACTTGCATGAGGACACTTTTATTTTCAATGTCAATGTTAGAAAATCAATTGTACAATGTTTTATCACTCAGGTGTCAGATCAGAGCTAGAAAAGGTTGATCGGCACAAAAAGTTTATGTCCTTTGCAGGGGTCCACCCAAAAAAAGTCTAGGGTCGGCAGGTTTTTCTAGGGCCGGTCGGGAAACAGGAAACACAACATTTTTTTCCTAGGCCTAACCAGTAGTCTGAAATATCCGTGATAACAACTCTATTCATCAACAGATTGGGGCGCCGACAGCCTGCAGACGGCATAAATTATTAACACGTTTCACTGTGAATGCCACCAGCGAAAAACGGCAACCCATTCGATTGTGTTCACGCTGGGCGAATGCACGAGATGAAATAGGCCGTGTTTATGTGAAGTGACCCAAACCGCGATTCGGGTAACTCACATTCCTCACATCTGGTCCACGTGCCATACATTCCTTTTAATTTAAAACGTGCCCGATCACGATTCTCCGAAACTACATTCATTGTTGTTTGATGAAAACACGCTAGGTAGCGTGTCATTGTTGTCAGAGGTCAACGACCTGCCTGCATGCTGGTGCCCCCCTCCCAGCGTATCTCGGCCGAATGCGGACGTGGTCCCGCCAGAGGCGGTGAAGCTCGCCCTACAACGGACACATTATTTGACCATTACTACTCTTTAAGTTGCTGACACGTAAAATTTGGTATTGCATACAAATAAAGAAATATCACCCCGTAATCCATGACCAAGTGAAGTCACATTGAAATCACATTGTGTTCAGACGCAAAACGCGATGCGGGAAAACCGATTCGAAACCACCTCTAGGAGTGGCTTGGGATCGAGGCGCTTTCAATGTGATTTGGAGCCACTTGAAACCGGCTTCGGGGTGAACCACATGTAAAGCGCCTTGGGTGACTTCACATAAACACGGCCATAGTCATGAATAAAAGAAGATCGCGTGGTGCAGAGATATATGGACTTGACCGTGAACTTAAAGAGAGGTTTACAATTTTGCAGAGCCCTTTTGGCAGGCTGTGCACTTTAGCAACCATTAGCAACCGTCGCATTTGGCGGCGCCCATCTCCGTTTGTATAGCCCTTGGGCCACACAAGTAGGGGGCTACGTCGATGAAGGTTAGACATCCAGGTAATACGATACGCCAAAAAGCAGTTACTCAAGAAACTGGATATGATTTTGAAAACGTCAGACGTTTCAGCTAGTATCCACTAGCTTTCGTCAGTGACTGAGAGACCAGAGGGGAAATGCAGGTTTATAAGCACAAACTATTGATTGAAGTAGTGGGCTAGTCCACTGGTAGTGGTGTGTGTTTAACTCCCATACTCTTTCTGAAATGCTGAGTGCTAAGCAGAGAAAGTAGTATGTACCATTTTTAAAGTCTTTGGAATGACTCGACCGGGGATCGAACTCACGACCTACTGAATGCAATGCGAGCACTCTACCCACTTGGCCATTGCACCGGTACTTGACAGGATTCCTTTTTTTTCTCACGACTGTGTTTTTTTTTTCGTGTTCCAGGCAGAGGAAGAAGAAATGAGAAAATTGGCCAGAGAACGGAGGGAGGCGGAAGAGCGAAAACGACTGGCTAAAGAGGAAGCGGAGAGGAAGAGGAGGGAGGATGTTAAAAAGAAGTAATGGCATCAAAGCAAATTACTACTCGTAACTGTCGACAGTTTTTATGTAGTTGACATGTACTTACTTAAGTTAGTAGATGCCATCCTTTGTACACTGTACAATTGTTGCGCAATAAAGTTATATATGTAATATATTCGTAGTAAACACATATACAGTATGTAAGATCAGTCCATGACACTGTGTACATACATATGCAAACAAAAAAGAAAGAACATTTATTGCACGACAATTGTACGGGGTACAATATGTATGACAACGACTATTGTTCATAGTACAAAAAGAAAAATATGGAATGAAACAACAAAATCTAGCATAAGTCTTTGACTAGAATAGAGTGGGGCTAATCATGTTTCGATTTTTTTTATAAGAAGTTTATTTGCAAATTCGTGCCCGGGGGCTAATTATAAATTACAAACATAAAAGAACAATGAAACAGAGTATAAGATAACTAAAATCTACATGATGAAAGGTAGTTGTCTAAAGCTATAGCTATGTCTAAAACTATGTCTAAGGGGTTTGACTTCTCTTTTTTAGACCATGGAAGACGTATAATATAATAACAAAATAGTCTTTTGTCTATTTACTTAATATGTGTATATGCATTAAAACATGCAGTCAAGATTTCTGTGTATCTAAAACTAAAACATCATTCCACCCCTTTCTTTGCAGATTCCTCCAGGAGTTAAAAGAGCAGGAGGAAGCCGAGAAGCGCCGCCAGGCGGAACTTGCGGAACTGCAGCGCCTGGAGGAGGAGCGGCAGCGGCGGTTGGAGGTACGTCATACGTCCTGATTATAAATTCTGTCAGGAAGATGACCAAATCCTCTTACTACACCCCGAAGCGAAGCTTTATACTACCTGTGATAGATGCACCTGCTCCCGGCACTTTTCCTACATCACAGTAAAATGTCATAAATATTCAAGATACTATCTTTGTCATTCGACCTAGTTTTCAGCCAATCAGCATTCGCCTTACTGGCTGAACTTTTTCCCATGATAACAGAAACTCATTTAGGTCCGCATGTCGTTATGTTTTGGTCTTAATGTTAAAACATTACGTTAAGTTACGTGGACCTCAGATAGGTTTAGAGCCAGTCTGGGCCAGGTTTCAAAAAGGACAGAGGACAGAATCGTTTGTCATGAGTACTGGAATGTGGCTGGTTCAAAAGGCTACACGACAGGCGATATATTATCGTAGTTCTACCGTTACTAGATTGTATTCTATAGGCAGATCACGCAAAAGGAGGGCATTCACATGTTGCGCGTGCATGTGATCGTGCTGAGTTTCGTCTATGAATTATATTTCCTAAAGAATGAATGAACTTTATTGCTCGACAGTTGTACACGGTACAATGTATGGCATCAATAACAATGTGATCAATACAATCAAGTCTATTCTAAGAAACTACTAGTATTACTACAGGAATATGAACGTAAACGGCGTATGACATGATGTGAGTTAGGCGTTGCTATCTGTAACAATACTTTCTCTCTTATATAATGCACTACATATACATTGGCCTAAGCACGTAGATATGGAGTCGGGGCATGACATGGGTAGATTAAAAATGTCTATGTTTGTCTTTGGGAGAGGTTTACCAGTTTTACATGTGATCATTTTCATTAATTTTTGTCTATCTAAAGTATATGTATGACAGGTCATTATCAAATGATATTCATCTTCAACACTTAATTGAAAAATGTGGGGCTTTCCAATGCATGTTATTCCCCTAGGCGGCCATAGTAAGCTAACGGGGGTCCTATGTGTGACGTCACAACCGTTGCTAACTAGCCCCACCATAAAGAGATTTCTTTTCGGACAATCGATTGAAAATTTGCATACTTGTTTTCAGAGAGAAAAAAAGCAAATTCTATGAATGACATACGAAATGTCATTTCATTTACACTTTAATCTTTTTCTTTATTCATCAACATAAAACGATACAATAACAAAGACAGTTTTAAACTTATTTTAACATTAACCATTTTCCGTCAGAATTTTAGGACTTCTTGCTCCGAGATGCTTGATATACATTGAGATAGTGTAGTTTCAACTCAGTATGTAGATAAGTGACTAGAATTTTGACTTTGAAAAATTAGATCTTCAAGCCCTAAAATCTACATTGGATGCCTTGAAAGTTCGTACTGGTGGACCAAACCTTTCGTTGGTTGACTGACCGAGTGCTTAATTCTCTGTCCCCAGTTGGAGCAGCTAGACGCCGAACGGCGTGAGCAGGCCCGTCTGGAGGCTGAGCTGGCGCGGGAGGAGGAGGCCAGGCGGCAGGAACACAACCTCAACATGCGGAAAAACCTCGCCTTCGTACGGCACGGACAGGAGTTCACCAAGTAAGCCTTAAAAATCAGCATGTTTCTGTTTATAGTTTCAGTTAACCTACACCAGGCTTCGAATTCGTAAGAGGCAAAGGGCCCAAGTAAGTAAGGCCATGTTGATTTGATTATATGGATGACATCCTCCGGGAACCCCAAAACTGATGCGCGCGTGCGAATAAAAAAAAAGTTTTGCAAAAAATAAGTTAAAGTTTTACTATTA